TGGGTTTCTTTTTTTTTGTCAACAGATGTAAAATGTATTTTGGGTACTGCTTAAGCTCTATGGGAAGTTATACAAAAGAATTTCAGTTAAAAATTATATTTTTTTAAACATCTACCAACATTCCAGCAGACATAGTTTGGGAAGCATTTTGAGTTTTTATCATTACAGTGCTAGAACACAACAATGCTTACGTTTTGCAAGAGACAAACTATAGAAATCTTAAGTAAGTAAGGGAGATCTCAAAGACCTGTAGACACTTTGGCACTTTAGATAGAAAAAAAATCTTGAGAAAGTAGGAAAAGTGGCTTGGTCACAACAATAGTAAGAGGAAATAAAGGCTGCAGTATGACACAGAACAGGAGACAAGGCAGGAAATGAGAGTATAAGAAGGCAGGACATGCATTTCTATCCTGTGAAAGGACAGAGAACTACTAAAAGGAGACAGGATGGAACATTTAAGGTAGCAGCAAGTTTTGAAGGTTTCCTCCCCTCCTTTCTTTTTGTTTTTTCACTGAATTCAGACCATGAGACACATAGAAAGTATGGATAAATCACACTTGCACTTTAACACTTGCATCTTCAGTAGAAGAGAATATTAATGCTTGCAAGCTATCATGCCCTGAAAGCAGAGGTACAGATCCACTTACACCACCTTTCCCCTCTTTGTCTCCCCAAATGTTGTCTCTGAACTTACAAATTTTTTTTTTTTTTTAAAGATTGGCCAGAAGTTTTTCAGCTTTTTATGTAAGAAACAACCCTGCCAGCAATTCTATGGCAGAGAACAGGCCTCCTTCAACTTTTTTGCTTTGTAAATACAAACACAAGACCTAGAAATCTAGTTTCAAATAGGTCTGTATTTTGCTGTCTTCTATATTATGGGAATATGCAGTTCTGCACTTAGTCAAAAAGGTGCACTGGAAACAAACATTTTGTCATCTCTGCAATATTTGCTAGAGAATTTTGAAGAATCAACTACACATTTTAGGTTAGTTTTCTGCCACTATAACAGAGACAGAAGTTGTTATTCTGATAAGGAGCTGGAAATCCGCTGGGTCCTGGAAAGCTCTGAACAGTCTGCTTGTCTTCAAAGCCAAACATGCCACAAAGCTCTACAATGGGCAAAGCAACTACATTTACACAGAGAATTGCTGTATGGTTGCATATTGGACCCAAGGGAGACTACAGAAGTAGCTATACAATTCCAGGACAATACCACATATGAAGATTGTTGTATTATACCACATGAGAACAACAGGAAATCAAAAATACCATTGACTAAGGTTTATTGCAAGCAACATACCTTGCGCACATATAAAGTAAAACCCTAAGTAAGAACTGGTCAGAGTTACCTCTTTTTTTTACTTGAGAAATGTAATGTTTATTCTTAACTCTAAGGAACAAATTTCAGATTATGAAATTATTTTTAAACCTCTCCTTTCTGAAACGTCTTAGAATAGCAGTCAGATCTGTTAAAAAAAAAAAAAATCTTCTGAAGTATGATGGAGGCTTTTTTTTCTTCCCCTGTTAAGTTTCAAGAGACCTTCTGGACTAAACAAAGCAACAAGACTCAAGTTTCATTGTCCTTTGCAGCCATCAGAACAGTCATGCAATCTGTTTTGAGGTGTCCTTTAATCTCAAATTGTTTCTACTAGTAGTAGCAGATATAAATGAAAATCAGTTAATATTATACTAGAGTAAAAATTCACTCACTATTTCTCTCTCATTTCATTTTATCCAAATGAAGGGGTTTTGTTGCATGTTACCTGAAGAGAGTTCAAATGCAGCCCAGGAAGTTCCAGGAGAGCACAGTATGCAGTTAAAATAGTAATCACTGCAATAATAATTTCTATGTAGTGCATCAACTTAGAATGTGCTACGCATGATTTCCCCTGGCTCTTGGCACAAGGCTGCAAAGGTGGCATTATAGCTCCAGAGCTGCCCATGAGCAGAGTGGAGGAGATCAGACTGGTATGTGGTATCCCTGGAAAGGCAAACAATTCAAGCTACCGCATACATTCTGGTGTAGTAAAGACTAACAGATGCAACAAGGGAAGCTCCAGCATCACTCCTGGTACAGAAGAAATGAGATCAATTTAGGAATTTGTTATTTTGTTATCTTGTCTCCTAATCAAAGTTGGGATTCCTGCTGCATATTTTGACCAAGCAACCATCTGCAAAACTTCACTCCCTTTTAAGCTATACATGCAGGACCATAATGAAAACGTCAGCGAGTATGTTTCCGAAAAATATCTAAACTTTCCAAGCCTCTAGAGTCAAAAGAGAAACAGTATGATATATGTACCTCAGTATTCCTAATCAGCTAAGAAAATACAGCCATGCATATCTAAAAATTTCCTCTGTAATAAGCTCTAAATAACCATTAGATTAGATACTATAGTAGGTTTCAAGTTCAGGAGGAGCTCAGCCCAGAAAGAATTAAGAATACTCTGATCCAGAACAGTCCCTCCAAACAAACAAATCAATCTATAACCAAAAAAATTTACTTCTACTTTCCTAAACTATAAATGGCTTTAGAAGTATTGAGGAAGAATTAACTTGTCTTACAGCAGAAAAACTGAAGTTCCTTCTAAGTAGGCAAATCTACAATCTTTTAATGCCCATTTTCACCTCCATGCCAAAGACTTCCATTTCAGAAGGGGCTCAGATATGCAGAAATTTTATTTGAACACAGACACGTTTCAGGTAAAACCAGATAAGTTGCTATTTTTCATCGCACAACATGCATACGGATCTGTCCCAATGGAGTTCTCACAAGAGCTTCAGGAAAACAAGATCACCCTAAGGGAAGGGCAGTGCAGTAAGAACAATATGAACACTACAGTGCTCTCTATTCACAGGGCATTTAAACAATACAAAGGCATTTTTGTCCTCCAGCAGATTACCAGCATGGTGAATGTGGCTATGACATGAGTCAATACAGAGGTAGGAGTTCCTCAGTCTTGAAACTGGCAACGGTCATAAGGCACTTTTAAGACAGTAATATTTGACAGAAGAAAAACTGCCTAACCTCCTTTGGCAAAGTGTGGCGTATAAATTTCTGAATATAAGAAGCAATCCTGAGTCTCAGAGTAAACTCTCCATTGAAAAACTTGTCTGGTTAAAGACAGCAGCTACCAGGAAAGTGAGGAACAAAACCCAGTGCTATTTTAAAGGCCAATTGATTCCTTAGCTCAAAGCAAAGCTGACTCTTGAGTTTTATTCTGTGTACCAGATCAGAACTGGAATGCCATCAGTTTTATTTTGATCTATCTCTGGGGAGTTAATTTATCGAGTTAATCATCATAAGAGGCATTGCATACTGGGATGCATACAAACAATTTTATATACCATTATCAGACGTTCCAGAAAAGACTCAATCCTCTTTCATTTAGACACCCTTCTACATTCACATTAAGGCAGATTAATTCAACTTTATGTTGCTCTTAAGATGAGAAACCATGGATCTTGCACTAAATGGAAGTGTTCAGTTTTGTGATTTAGTTTCAGCGACCACAAACTTGATGATTATTTTGCTATTTAAATATTTTGTTATTCAAGTAATCCAAATCTATTGATTCCGGACCTGCGTTTTGTAATTGGCAGAATCCCATGAGTCTGAAAAACTACATCTGATCACAGATCAGTCTGTCTCAAAATATATAAACTCTTCAGACAAAAACACAGATATAATGACCAGCATTCTCTCTTTCCTATCTTCTATATGGTCCTAATCGAGCAGCGAAAGAACAGAAACGGTGAAGTACAGAGCACCAGTCATTTAGGAGAGAAGTTGAGTGTTTTGCAACACCCACAATGCCTGGAGACCAGTGCCCTCAAACCAGTACTTCCAAACACAGAGGTCAATCACCAATTCTCTAAAAATCACTTGAAAATGAAGGCGGTTCTTAATCCAACTTTAGCTCTTTCTAGCTGATGAGTAACATCGAGAGACAGGATATCCTGCACTTTAAAGACAAATTTGATTTTCTCTCTGAAATAAACATGACTAAATCCCTTCCAATATATTAATGAAAACTGTAGCAAATGTCTGACCATAGTAGAAAATAACTATTTCCTCAAGACAATATCAAAACTCAACTGTCCCTAGTTGTCTACAGACTAGAGCATACCTTAAATATTTCTGCCACAGCAGAGGTGATTCATCAGAAGAGCAACAATCAGCACACTTTGAGCACGATAGTGTTAATTAACACAGCAATTACAGGTCAGCTGTCCGCAGAAGTGAACTGAAGGTTAAGGTGCAGTTACAGACAGTCTGATCTATTCTTTTAGTACTCCTCTGACCACACAGTAAATCATTCCAAGATTCCAAACTAGAGAAATAACAATTTGATCAGAAAAGAGCTTTTTATTGGGTTGTCAATCTGACTTTGTCTACCATGCAGTCAAACTATCACGAGAACCAAGCATAACCAAAGGACACAGGACTACTCATTTGGAAACTGAATAAGAGAAGATGGGGGAATTGTCTCAGCTGTCTCATGAAACTACACCCTTTCTGGACTTCAGGCATTAAGAAAATTGCACCAGAAGAGCCTTGCATTTGGCTGAAATCATTTTCACACTAGACTATGTTCCCATTCTGCTGCACATAATCAAATTTGTCTCAGACCATAGGTAGTTGTTCCACTCATACTCACCTTTAGGGTTTCATGTATTACAGAGATACTTGAGATTTGTTCTGGTCAAGAAATTGCTATGGAGACACGCATTTCTACTTTGTTGTTAGTAGTGTTTCTAAAATTATTAAATTATAGATGGAGCTACAGAAGCCTATTGACTTGGTACTCGCAGTCCTAACCTATTAACACTCCCAACCACTTTAGCAATAGAAAAGTAGGAAACTGGGAAGAGCTTAAGGTTCAGGGAACACTGCTCATTACAGTGGAAAAGCACCGCTTTCATCATTGAAAGCAAAACCAACTTCTCTCTAAACCATTGAAAGGAAGCTCCAATATGCAACTGTAGTTGGTTCATACCTGTAGCTACGCACCTCCCTCTCACCGTTCCAGTCTTCACTCTAAAAGATAAGGGAAAAACAGACATTGATTACTCCAGAGTTAAAATCAAATAATAACAATCATTACAACATGAACTCCATCCTGTAAAATACTAAGGACTGTGAAAGTAAAGCATATTTCTAATAACAGAAGTCATCATGAGGTGGTAATCCTCATTAGACTCAAAAATGAAGTTGTGCATTTCAGAAATACAGAGAACAAATGGAAGGGTGCAAGAGAAAGGACTGCAAACACAGCATGGCTGAAAAAACATAAGTCCTGTAGCTTCCTAATAACATTCAGTGGGCTTACCCTTCCTCTGTCTGGCTTTTTGGCTCTCATGACCAAAGCAGAGTTACCAACAGCGGTACCCACAATCCTAAACTCCTACATTACATTATTTTGACAGAAGCAGCACTAAAGGATGACAATAATCCTGCAGATGGGAAATCTAATTTAAGATAGCATAGATGGAAATATGTGGAAGAACTCTGAATTACGGAACACAGAGCTAACAACCCAAGGAAAAAAAAATTTACTTCTACATCTTAAGCAAATCATCAACCAGGAACCATACAGACTTTCTGTACCAGCATCTTATAAGTAGGGGCGCTACTCTGTGATTCAGGGTTCTCTTTTTGCAGATTCAGTAATTGACCCAAAAGACAAGCTAGAATATATTTAAATACAAACTTTGGATTTTTTTAGTTGCTTGGGTTTGGTTTTGTTTGTTTGTTTCTGAAGACTTTTTTTCTCTGCTTCTTCCTAGGTTATTTTGCAGAAATACACTCATGGTTGTTCAGCAGTATTTTACAGAGAATCCAAATATGTTTATTTATCTATAGGTACCAAACCAAAACCTGCATCCACCTGCAAGGAGAAGAGTTATATAAGGCTATTTGAGAGCTCACATTTTCATAACTTCATAACGTTTGTTCTATATTCTTTGAGAAGTGTGGATAAGTCATTCATATCCTCTTCTAACTTGTCTTGTAATATACTTGGATATTTATCACATGTACTCATACCCTCTTTTCCAGAGGGAGATCTCTTGAAAATTTTTTATCCCTATTTTGTAGCAATTTTCAATTGTTCTCATTTCTTCCTAATTTGTTCAATTGATTTAATATATTATACCCTCTAAAAGAACACAGAATCTTAAACGCAACAAATAATTTTCTTATAATACTAGTTAAGAACAATAAAAATCATTCCATGAATCCTGAGAAACATAACTCTGTTATCTAAACTGTGTATTTTTAGAATGATATGTTTATCTGTTATGGAATATTACTGAAAACTGACTATTGATCAGGGAATACTTTACATACTTATTTTTGTTCTGTTTCACAATAACAGTCTGGATTATGAAGCTCTTACTAGTGATTCAGGCAAACATGTCACCTGAGGACACCTCCTTTCACCTCACCCACATTCCTTTGCTTTTTTGAAGTTTAATTAAACAGTATTTGTTTATGACCAAAAAATGGTCTCAGATTCCTGCTAACAGACCTGACTTCATCACATAACACAAAATTTTTGTTTTCTTCCTTGTAAACCCAATCTTTGTCAGATATTTAAATGCTATGAAAGTTGTCATAAATGCCAATTCATATTTCTGTGATAACCAGCTTTCAGAAAAAACTGAAATGCACAGCTCATTGATCTTGTAAATGCTTAAATACTGGTAAACAACATTTTAATGTTAAAAAGAAAATCTTCCCTTCGCACATGTAACACTCTACAGAATTAATTTAAAAACTTCAAAGGAACCAAAAGCACAGCTGACATAGCCAGAGGAACCCAGAACTCTTGGATACCTTTGGAAAAAAATATACAACTCACTGAATCAAAGACAAAATCCAAGACAATAAACACTTTGAAAAGCAAACAGTAAATCTGACAGCCACCTGTAGAAAGCCTGGGACAATGCTCTTAAATCATAAATGCTTCTGAAAACAAAGTTGTTGTAGTATGGTTCATTTAAGTGCATGCAGAACATAAATACACCAAATATTTTATCCAAGTTTACACATCAGAAAAACCTAGCCCAAAGTCCAAAGAATACAACAACTGTATTCTCGGAAGAAATCAGGACTTTGATACCTCAGATCAAGGTATGTACAAGCTGGTGTGCTGCTAGCAATGTGTGTAGCATAGCAATTTCTGTAATTAACTGACACGGCAGTAAGTTCTTGTGCAAACTGTGGATTCACCTCAGCCCAGCATTAGACGCTGATAGTGAATGGCTTTCCTAGTTGCATTCATGTAGGTTCTTAGAGGGGACAGCAAAACAATTAACAAGTGTAACTTGGGACATCTCATCACAACTTTTGCAAAGAATGTTTTTCCTGAAGTTGCCTCCCAACTGAAGTGCTGCATCTGAGTACAGATGTCACTTCCAACTTCTTCTGTACAAAGATGGGTGGAACTATGACACCACCTGACAATTCCATGTAGAAAAACAAAGGTTTAATCCTTAGATTTAACACTTAGCCTTGCCAGATCTAAGAGTGACAAAATACACTCTTGCTGATATACAAACAGTTGTAACTTCTGGTATGCAATATAATATAAATAGAGCTGCAGCTGGTAATGAAAACAAGTGGCTCTAGCCACTAAGTACTAGACAATGGATATGAGCCCAATAAATCTAGTGATACTGCTTTTATAGCAGCAAAAACTTCAGCCTCACCATTACCCAGAACTATCTGTAAGAGAGTATTGGATCATTTAATGGATTCTGATCAATGAAATTACTGTCATAGTCAGCACTTGTCTAGACCAGTTAGTTCTGATTTCTCATTACACTTTCCAGGAATTAATGTTTGTGGGATGTCAAGATTACCATTGACAATTAAAGAGGCTAACAGATAAAATACACCACAGAGCTCAGACCCAGACACATCCTGGCATCAACAGGCTCTCACATAAATCACCATTCAGTCTGTAGTCACTGTGGCTTACCTACTTTTTAAGTACCAACATGGCCAATAATAAAAACTTGGAAATATAAAAATAACTGTTTCTCCGAAGGAAGTGCAGGACAGAGATAATGATGCATCAGAGGCTGAAGGAGCAAGTGCACTAGTCAGATTAGGAAGAGAGAAGCCTACACAAATCAGATGAAGTTTCAATTACTGTACAGCTTAGGCCAGGACCCACAGAAAGCATGTCACTTTCTAGTAAACTTTACTTATGAGACAGCAAGACAACAGAGATAGCGACAAGAAACTCCTATCATGCCAAAACCTTACCAAGGAAGCAGGCATACTTTCTTATCTGAGAAATGCCTGTCTTCTACTACAATCTTTACACCACCCAAACCTCTCAGCACCAGAAGCTACTTGCTCAATGCAAGGCCACAGCTCCAAGTCACTGTGCCTGCTCACTTCATTTTTGCAGAGCGAGCTGTCAAATACTGTTTTCCTCAGTGGCGCCAGCAGAAGTACTAATGTGCATCCAGGTTAGCAGACAATCTGTACAGTTAGTAAACAGACCAAATTACTCACAACAGTATGTTCAACTATCAGAGTGTAAGTTTGCTCAACTTCAGATGTAATAGGAAGAAGAGAATGAAGAATAGAAGAGGTGCATATTTTGGGACCACTGCAGATTAAGAGAAAAAGAGAAAGGAAAACATTTTAAATGCCATGCTTCAACTTACTGTAACCAGAACATAATAAAATACTTAAGATTTGGGATGTAGACCATATCTGCAATGGCTGTTCCATGCCCAGTCTGCAATTACAGCTTAAACATTCCCCAGAACAATCATTAGTCTTACAACCCATAATGAAAATGTCAAGAGACACACTTTGAGAATGCAAAACAATCCTACGGCCTACTGTTGAAAACATGAGTCTGGGGCTTAGATGACACGAGTTCTATTACTAACTACAGGACTAAATAGCATTGGACAAGTCACTTTATGGTCCTAAGAGTTTCCATTTGTACAGTATTATCATCTTGTTTTCTTTGTGAAAAGATACTTGGAGAATGAATAACCAAATGTATTCAATAAGAGTCAGAGAGTATGATTACATTGTTACAGCTGGATCTCAGCTGAAAACCTAGCAAACAACTTCTTAAAAAAAAGTTTCCACAAAACATTTGTCTGTTAATAAAAACCACAGAATCTCACCAACAAAATATTTAAGCTTGCTATATCCTTCCAGATTACAGCACTAAGGCACTCTCAAAATATCTCAAGAGTTGCAAACGCAGAAGGTACACACCAATGCAACATTTTATTTACTTTTTGAATGAGGATCCAAGATATTCAGAAAACACACATTCATGTTATGCTTTATGGATACTCTACATGCCACAGGAAGACCTATCAAACGTAGCCAGAGCTTTATGTCTGCTTTTGGGTAAAAGATTGAGGTGTAGCAAACAGAAACAGTATTCTCAGTTTAATCACTAAGCCTCCTTTTAAGAAGCAACGCCACTAGCTGAACTTTAATAACCTCATTCACCTCAGCCATAAGATTCAAATACTAACACTTTCACTTACCTATCATTAAAGGCAAGATAAAAAAAAAAAATCAATAGAAAAATCTTCCCTGTGCAATGTTTAGACAGACACGGTTTGCATAGCTGTGCATTAAAATAGGTCTTTTATAGTGGTATCAAGGTACTTACACACCTCTTTCTTTTGATTGCACAGAAGAGAAGAGTTTCAAATCCAAACAGAGAAGATGTATTGCAGGTCTCCCCACAAAGATCCTCAAATGCAATCACTATTCTGTACTATTACACCTAAAATACTAAAAGAGGACACAGTACACATGACCATTTCCAGCATCTACTGCCAACTTCAGAGGGAAAAAAATTTTGAGGCGCCCCAATTTCGAAAGATCAGAATCAAACTGGATACAAAATTCTGAGTAGACTTGAAATTCTGCATTTGCAAAATGTTTAAGTATAAACTTTCATATTTTATTTCAGAGAAGCACAACTAAGAAAGACTGATCTACCTTAAGCTTGTATGTGTCTCTCGCTTGGCTTATATTAG